CAGCAGCACATATCCTAACCCCGAGACGGTCACACAAACAGCACTGACTGGAGTATTCACTCCAGGTGATCGAAACAGAAGAGAGCATCGAGTCATGTTCGAGACGTAGCAGTACAAAATACAGAGATAGCCGATGAACATGACTCACTTGAGTCCACATGATAGTACGCGCACGCTTCACCGCGCGCCTTCCAGGAGAGGGAGAGGGGGATGGAGCACCTCTCTTTCCCAACCGGCGCGGACGTTCCTCCTCCTCCGGCGTCGCCTCATGCTCTTGCCGCCCGTGTTCGCGCTTACGCGTCGAAGGCACCTTCCCTGCTGCGCTTCGTGATGCTGCGGTTGAGCGAGCAGAGGTGGATGCAGCGGGCTGTTCTTCAGCTGCAGGGGTGGGAGCAACGGAGCACCTCTCAGCGAGGAACGCTGTATACTCTCGAAAAGCGGCAGGATTGCCTTCTATGAGTGTACGTAGCGTTGTTGGGTCGAAGGAGAGCTCCGGCTTCTTCGTGAGCGCGGCGACGATCAGAGAGCTGTATGATACAGTGTGAGCCGCCAGTATACGAGGAGGCGGGAGCGTGATAAACGTACATCATAACACTCTCGTCGGTCTGCAGGGATACTAGACCGTACTTGACCAACGTCGTCTTGAAGTCGGCGATGCTGTACCCCTGGTCACACATCGTGTACGCGTAGGACTCGTTAGGCCTCAACCCCTCCATTCTTTCATCCCAACACTTCGACGACCGTCCGTGAACGCCACGGGTCGCGTAAGAATCCCAGAATTGGCCAACATCGAGAGATCGGTACCCAGAGAGCGCGTATTCGACCCTCCAATCTTCAGACAGTCCCACAGCAGGGATGATGGCAGGTGAGTCCTCTGGTATAGATAGAGCGTGGGTCCCCAGGCGAGATCAAGATGGCGGTTCGGGAGTGCTACCGTTTCCGCGCTTAGCCGGGTTCGCCCTTTGCCGAGACCCCTTCCCACGCCCCAGCCTCAACCCGCCTTTGGATGCTCTCTCCCAGCTATCACCACTGTTGATCTCCGACGGATATATCTCTGCCTCAACATGGGCACAACTCACTTCTCTATCAACTCGTCTGTTCCTGAGTATGTGCAAGCACCACCCTTCTCGTCGCTGGACAGCCGTGCCACCCACCACCAAATCGCTTATCTTGCCGCCCAGCAATCTAGAGGATGAGCAAGATAAGCGTGTACGTTGGGACGCAGTGTAACAGTCTCTTTCAAATGGCCTGTTGGGACCATGTATGAGCTGTTCTTAGGGGAACGTGTCCGATTATTGCTGTAGCGCACAGATGGTGAGCTCGGGAGCTGAATCCCCGATGGCTTATTTCCGGTTTCCGCTCTCCTATACCTTGGTCACAGTCTCGCACTGTGCGAACTTTTGATCTCGGTTGCGATCTCCTCTGTAGAAGTGCAAGAGTCTGTGTCTGCTGCGTCTTTATCTCTGCAGCTATCCATACGCATAGCCCGACTTGCCTAGGAGGGCATCATGATGTACACAGAGACGCCTCTCAGCGAAACTCCGGTGATTGTGTACCCGCTTGCGATTACGCCGTGATGGTGTTGTTTCACCGGAGGCCGTGAACTGCTATCGCCGGATTGAGAACACCTGCTTGTGGTGATCTGTTATGGAGCCCAACTTTGCGCGTGTGTCTTCAACTTACCCTGACAAGCATTCGATGCCCATGACAACAAGCATCACTTCCATTGCATCCAGTATCTCGGAGATACTCAACGTTGATATAAGCTGTCTAACTCTGGATTCCCTTTCAATCAGCACCCGCTTGGGCAAGACTTCACCTCGCCGCCGCCATGGTAGACAGTTTACTCAATGCACCAACTGACCTCTCCCGCGTGCTGCAAGGCTTAGACATTCCTAGTCCCGAGCAACCGCAAGGATCTGTCGGCAATTCCCCTCGCGATGCTCACTATAAGTCCTACATGGTACGCGAGACCGAACAAACCCAATGCTTACAACCTCACTGGACTTGCAGGCCTCCGCATTCATCTATGCGTGCGTGGACAATGACTCCACTAATTGGAGTCATTACTACTTGTCCCCATCGGCGGAGCAAAGCACGATTGTCTCCGATAGTTCCGACGCTCCTCGCATATCTATCTGCGAAAGTGACGACTGTGATCAGCTCCTGAAGGACACCATCTGCGACGCGCTCCCTGGATTAACCAACCTTTACGCTCGTCCCTCGGAGCAGCTCTGTAGCAACGCGGATACATGGCGTTGCCCTGTCGAGCGGTGTTGCAAGGCTGTGCGCCCTTTCAATCTCACTCAGGAGCAGTGCGATGTTGTCACGACCTTGGCAGGAGCCTTTGATACCATGCTCGTCCGCGGGAGCAACGGTAGAGTCCGTCTTCGCCGTGAGGACCCTTGGGCGTTTCTGCGTTATATCGACGCGGTGGCCTGGGAACATATTTCTTGGCACCTTCATCGTGTGCACATCACCTTCTACTATCCTCACCCACAAGCTCCGTACAAGGTGCGTGCAATAACGACAGGCGCTTACATTCTTGGTTGATTGATCATTTAGGAACTCCCGGGATGGTGGTGGAACGAGACATTGCTGACTCGTGACGAGCCACTTTTCCGACTGGTCCAAGATTTCGAAGCCACGAGCCGACAGAACAGACGACAGTGGCTTGTCACAAAGGCGATCGAATCTTCTCATCGCAAGATCCAACGTGCTCAGGCTCGTCTGACACGCTGGCGCTATGATGCCTTGGAAGCGCGCAGGGAGCTCGTCGCCACCATGTTCAACCTTAATCGCAGCGTGGTTGACGTCGGCCGTTCGTTACTGACACTAGTAAGACAGCAAGAAGCTGACACTCGTGGGCAAACCTACACTGCTGAGATAGCCCATTATCGTGAGGCGGAGAGGGAATGGGCTGAGGAGCAACACATGTGGGGTTGAAGATAATACGCAGCGTCTGGTACTCGACGTCTTCATTGTTTTAGTCGTGGTCAGCGGGCGGAAGCCAATGTTGTATCGATCTGGAGTCGCACTGTCTACGACACCGTATACAAACTTCAGTACGACTTTGGGAGGCAATGACATCATGGTTCATGACGGAGGTCCCTTGCAACGATGCGACAAGTAACGCTATACTATGTATACGGCATACTTACACAGCTTCAGACAGAAGCGGGGTA